GTGTGTGTGTGTGTGTCCCCAGAGGAGTGCGAGACGCGGCCGGGACAGCGAGAGCAGGTGGAGGCGGTGATGCTGGCGTGCCGCTACCTGCCCCCCTCCTTCCTGTCGGCGCCGGGGCAGCGTGTGGGCATGCTGGCGGACGCCGCGCGCACGCTGGAGAAGCTGGGCGACAAGCGCACGCTGCACGACTGCCAGCAGATGATCATCAGGCTGGGCAGCGGCACCACCGTCACCTCCAGCTAGGGCCCGCCGCGCCGCGCCGGGGCCCGAAACAGCCCTGCCCCTCCGCCGCCCCGCCCTCTTCTCAGCTCTACAGCCAGACGGGGGCTTGGGGGGGTTGCTGTTGTAAAATTATTTATTTTTTTCCCCCTTTGAAGTTCAAAGCTGGTTTTCCCTTTGTGAGAGATCAGCTGCAGTGACAGCGTCCGGCCACTGTGTGGCGTGTGGAGGCCCCCCCAGCGCGCTGCAAGGGCCAGGAGAGTGACCAGCGTTCCACGGGCCGTGCAAACTGTCAGCCCCCCTTCCCCCCTTTATCAGCTGGCTAAGGGTGGGGCTGGAGGGCTCTCGCCCCCTTGCTAATCCGGGCCGGCTCTGCTTCGGTTGCTCAGTGGGCACTGGTGTGACTGTGGAGACGCTGGTGGTGCCGTACGGCCCTCGCAGAGCAGAGGCAGTCCCCTCGCACGCTGCTCGAGCTGTACAGGTCCCAGGGCTCTCCGAACCCAGCAAAACAAAAAAACAAACAAAAAAAAACAGAAGGATTTTTTTTAAAGGAAACCTATTCCTTTTAAAATCTTATTTTTTCAAATAGTTTGGTAAGTTTTCTTTGTGTACATATATATATATTTATAATTTTCTAAGAATATTTGGATGTTGCCGTTTTTATTTTGTGGATGATTCTTTCTGCTCGTACTCTATTTATGAAAGGTTCTCTCTTGAGGCCGACAGGTGTTGTTTGTGTCCGGCCTGGCGGCTCCAGCTGTGGTCCAGGAGGTCTCGACAGCCTGTATCCCAGGGCACGCGCTGCATTGCAGGATTTTGCTGCAAACGGCACGTTAATGATCTAATTGGCAGTTAAGGGAATGGCAGCGGCGATAAAGGTGCTGGCTGTTTTTTGAACTACTGCAGTGTTCAGCAGATTGGAAGGGCCGAGTGTTGAGTCGCTCTACTGTTTCCAGTTGAACAGAGTCCCTCTCGGCTGCTGGGAGTCTTGTCCGTTAGCCAGTTCCCGATCCCAGACCGTGATCCAGGAGAGACACGGGTGCGAGGCCGGCCCGCAGGAGAGACCTGCGGCTCGCTGAGGCTTCCTCGTCAGTAGTGATGACGCCAGCTGGCGCAGAGCTGTGTCCCCTGCAGGGGAGGGGAGGAGCGGTGCAGCCAGGCTGCTCTGCTGGTCCGGAGGGTCCCGGCCGCTGTGTGCTCCCAGTCTGTGTCCGTGCTTCTGGAGTGTCAGCCCTGCCTGAACCTGCTGGCCACAGCTCGCCGTCCCTCACAGAGCCCTGCTGTAGCCTGCAATCCTCATGTAGGGGTTCGGCTCTCAGAAGACACAGAACATTTATAAGGTTATGGCCAATTAAAAGTCAGCATTTAGGAGTTGTTGGGCACTAAAGCAACTTGGCCAGCATCGGGTACATTTAGGTCACCCAGATGCTTTGCAAATTAATGGAATAAATCTTTATAAAAAGGCAAGCATTCTGTTTCAGGCGTGTAGAAAATGCTGTTATTCATAATTCTGTCTCCTCTCCTACATGAGCAGTTTCTTGCATCTTGATTTAAAGAATCTCCAAGTTCAGAAACCTCTCCAGCATTTTAGTGTTACGTTCTTTATTGTCAAAGATGACGGGATGTTAAAGTGTTTTGTACCTTTATTAATTAAATAAAATGACTAGAACTGCAACAAGGAGCCTCATCTTGGTTCATAGAAATTTTTCTATTATTTTTCATCCCTTTTTTCAGCACCCAGTTTTAAAACTACATGAAAAAGGCACTTTAGTTCTTTGTCAAATTAATCAGTCCTTAGCCAGTAATGTAATTTGTATTTTATAAAACTGGTAAATCATTTGTAATAATTGTTGATGCTATGAACTGATATTTGCTACCCCAGGCTTGTTGCTGTAATTATTATGTAAATTAACAAGCAGTTGGTATTAAACACTGTTTATTAAAAGTGTCTTTTTTTTCCAGCACCTGAGAATTATTGGCCTTTTTCCTGCTTCTAAGAGGTAGTGAGTAGACTGTACTGATTAACACCTTGTGCTTCAAATGGCACCTTCATCCTGATGGCTCCCAAGGTGCAGCCAGACTGGAATCCACTTCACTCTCCTCTGATAACCAGCCAGCGGCAATTCTGCACAAAGTCACATCGCAGGAGGTGAGGCAGAGAGCTGAGGAGTTGTTGAGCCAGTTAAACTCGCTGGGGAAGTTGAGGTAGCCCATATTCAGATAGTCTGAACTGAATTCAAGCCAGAACACCAAGGTCAGCTACGCTACTCTTGGGAAAAGAGCAACATGTTTTCAGGACATGTGACATGAGTCGCCATGTTGTTGTCACGGCCTGTGCCTTCTGCTAGCAGCCTGCAGAGCCCAGCGATGACGAGACCCTGAGGCAGACAGCCTGTCAGGGGTCCCTGAGCCTCTCGACAGCGGAGCGCAGAAACAGGCCTGCAGCAGTTCCCAGGGGGTGCCTCTCCTACTCCGTCCCGACCACTTTATTGATTACGTGTTTATCTGCTCATTGGTTTTTTCTCCCTGGCAGTCTTAAAGCTGTCCAGGCAGATCACGCGCTCCCTAGTGACCTTTCCTTCGCTGGCGCCCTGCTGGGAGACGTCCAGCTGGGTGAGCGGACAGGCGTCCTGCTGGGATGGTGGACAGGCGTCCTGCTGGAAGGGCAGACACGCGCGACAGCGCCTGGCTCCCCTGAGCTGCCTCTCGCTGCCCAGCACCCCCCCAGGGGCAGGGTGCCATATGGTCTGCAGGGCGGGCACGCATGGGCAACCACGAGCGACACAGGAGAGGGTGAGACGGGGGGCTCATGGGAAGGACACAGCAGGGAGAGCAGGTCCAGCTGGAATCCGTCCGGGACAGGCCCGCAGCTGCGGGGTTTTCCAGATGTGCGCCGGATGCAGGCTGACCCAGGGCACACAGCCCTCGTAGGGCTGCAGAAAACCCTTAGAGGAACATGGGTTAAGGTGTAGGTTATCTAGACTCTAGGAATTAAAAATGAAACAAATTAACAGACATATCCCTCCCTTCTCTCCTCTGGGCCTGAGATTAGAGGAATAAAGAAACTGAGCGACACACAGACTGATTTCTGACCAAGGAAGTAACATTCCAAAAATCCTTTTAATTCATTCTTTTAATAACATTTTAAAGGCAATAACATATTTATTTTATAGAAAATAAACATCTCTAAGAAATACTATACACAATTATTTAAGTACAGCACATCTTACAATTAAACATGGTCAAATACTTATATACACCATTAAATAATCATGAAAATGAGAACAGCTGGGAGCGAGATTTGTAGGTTTGACCTTTTTGTTTTTTAATTTAATAGAGCCTCAGTTTGCTGCTTTGTAGTTTACCTAAATGAACTAAATGCATGATCAGTGAATGGGCTGGGCTAAAGCAGGGGTGGGCAGTCCTGGTCCTGTAGAGCCGGTCCAGGTTTTCATGCGAGCTCGGCTCTTAACGAGCTCAATCAGCTCATTAACCATCTTATTAGGACCAGTTTAAAAGCCCCTCCCAGCTCTTCAGGTGCTGCTGCTTGGAAAAGCCCTGCAGGCACCGACCCCCGGGACCAGGAGAGAGAAACCACCCAGACTGCTGCAACTCCAGCTAATCATCTGGGCAGATCAGTGCAATGAAACCCCACATACTAACATGGCATCAGTGACAGAAATATCAGAGGAACAATATGTGCATATTGTAGGAGTTTATTCCTTGGGCTGATCTATTTTACAAAGACATGAGGTACAAGAAAAATACCTTCACAAAATGTGCCAGCTTTCCCAAAAAGAAAAGAAAGAGGAACCCAACCAATTTTCAAAGAGCTTTTAACTACAAATGCACTTGTGCAAATCTGTGGAACGGAAATATATGAAAATATAGAGCTGAATAGATTCCGCTATACAAATGTGCCAGTTTGAGCTTCTAACATTGTGACAATTCTGTATATGCACGTTGAAATACATATTGAAAGAGCAAAACATTAAAATATCCAAATATCATCTTCTGCATAGAATACCATACACAGTTGCAGACAGCCCCACCGGCATCAACTCCAGTGTTTTTCACCGCTTTACCAAGTGAAATAATTGTTAAACGAGCTTAAGAGACGGTGCTTTCAGGTCCGTTCAACACTCGTATGGTGTGAATACTTTTCTGCTGAAGTTCTACAGTGTTCAGTAGGACCAGCAGAGATTTCGCTGTCAGTTATAGATTTGTAAAAAACATTTATTACACTTAATCAATTCGTGAATAACATTGCGAAGGTGCCGCGACGTACGTCTGAAACTGCACATTGTGTCTATTGAAATATGTTGGAAATGTACATTAAAATACATCCTTCGATAGAAATGCGTGAATTCCTAAATATGAATATATTTTAATATCGAATATGTATGTCAACATTGAAAATCACAACGTCTTCCGGAGTATGTACGGCAGGGGGAGCCACACTGAACGTCTTCACAGGTTCGTCATTGCCTCTATTCCGCAGGTAAAAATTAATCAAAACAAAAAAATATATAATATTTATAATGGCACATTCTTTTCTTCTGCCCTTCCCCCAGTAAGAACCCTAAACAGCTGTTTTTATTTGTTTAAAGTCTCTGTAGCCATGGCTACACAATGTCTCTTTTTTTTGTCCTCGATTTTGTTTTTGCGGCGTGTCTGCAGCTCCGGGAGCTCGCTGGAAGTCGCCCCCGGAAGAGAGCAGAGGCAGGGGGCTCTCCCTCCGCCCGGGACGCGCTGGCGCCGAGCCCGAAGCCGGAGCCCTTACTGACTTGCCAGCACAGGGATGTCCATTGACTCACTGCATAGAAGGAGACCCCACGGCCGGCTGCCCCGCGTTCAGCTGGTCTTCACAGAGCCTGGGAGGGGGCAGAAAACAGACGGGTCTGGAGAGGCGGACCCCGCGCGTCCCGTGCGTGGACACGTGCCGCCGAACCACACCCTGACCCGGAACCAGAACCGGACCCTGACCCTGACCTCGACCGGCCCGGATCTTCTCGCCGTCCGCGCGTCTGCGCGAGAACCGAGGCGTACCGAGCTCCACGCGCGAGGCACTGCGACACTCCCCACGGTGGCGCAAGAGCATAGTTCACAGGGAAACTAACGGCACTAATAACACTTCATAAATCAGAGATGAACCTCGTCCCAGACACGGGGTGGCAGTGCGCTTCTCCGCGGCATTAGAAACACAGGTACGTGGTGTGTTCCGCGTCATCACGAAAACAGTAGGGGTGTAACCCCGGCGTCCTGGCCGAATTTTCCATCGGCCTTTATCAATCATGGCCTCCTAACAATCCCCCTCTGTGAATTGGCTTCATTACTCTGCTCTCCTCCCCACTGAGAGCTGGTGTGTGGTGAGTGTTCTGGCGCACTATGGCTGCCGTCGCATCATCCAGGTGGGGCTGCACACTGGTGGTGGTGGAGGGGATCCCCATTACCTGTAAAGCGCTTTGAGTGGAGTGTCCAGAAAAGCGCTTTATAAATGTAAGCAATTATTATTATTATTATCACGCCGAGCTCACGGGCAGAGCGCCCCCTGGCGGCAGGGTGTCTCTCCGGCTGCGGGGGCAGCTGCTCCCTCAACAGCGCGGCTCAGACTGGCCCTGCGCTCGCCGCCTGCCTCCGCTTTGCGCTATCGGGCACTACAGGCACGACGGGACCCTCACGACATCGCTTCCCCTGGCTAGTCAGTGATGTGGCAGCTGATGGTAAAATCGTTGCCGCCTCCGTTACATTCTCGGAGGAGAAAAACGGACCTTTATTTCGTGTTTTACTCGCCTTTAAACCGTTTCTGCGTGAAGCTCAGAGATCTCCCCCCTGCCCTGTGTTTGAGCCCTAGATCCCACCGCTACCGAGACCTCTGTATATCTCTTTCTGACACCTCGTTCCGTGGGAGGTATCTCGGCGAGATTGCATTGATCTCTGGTCAAGCTCCCCCCCACTGTCAACCCGGGCAGGCGATGCTGTTGTTCATTCTGCTTTGTCAGTCGTTTCCCTGGTGAATGTCAGCCTGAATTCAGACTCTGACCTTCCTCTCTGCGCTCCCCAGCGCAGTTCCCCGTCTGGCCAGCGGGGGGCAGGCGGCACAACGCCAAGTGCTCGGAACCTGACGCCGCTGTCTGTATTTTTAATAGCCTGTGTATTGCAATGCTCTAAAAACAAAACACAAAAAAGCACTTACAGTGTGGGAACTAATTCTAGAAGTATTCGTCATAAGCTTTATCTAGAAAGAGAACAGAATAGAGATGTGCTAAAAAGTCTGGGTTGTCTGTGCCTTTTAATAATGATCCGACCTCGCCGGTCCATTAGCTTTCTACAGGGATAGGAACTAGAGAGAAGAGATGAAAACCTTTGACCTCTTCATCGATTTACATCAGCACACGAAAGAGTCAAACAAATACACAGGATGTAGTCTATCTAACTGCTTTATCCAGTACAGAGCCAGAGACGAGCCAGAGCCCATCCCAGTAAGCACTGGGCACGTGCACTCCCTGGACAGGAGGCCAGACCCTCACAGCACAGACACCATTTTCCCAGAAGCCAGTGAGCCCACCAGCACGGCTCTGGACTGTGGGGGGGACAGGAGCACCCAGAGGACACCCCCGTGAACACAGGGTGCCACCTGCATGGAGTTTGCATGTTCTCCCCAGGTGGGCCCCTGCGCTGTGATGCTACAGTGCTGAGCACTGCGCCACTGGACCAGGCGATACAGCTAAAATGGTTCAGCCCCCCTCCCCCCCTCCGCTGGTCCACTGAAGAGAGCAGGGAGGACGCAGAGACATTGATCTGGGTGTTGAAGTCAGATTCTTGTCTTCATTTCTCCCAGGCTGAGGTACTGCTGAAAAACAACATCTGCGGCAGCTATCTGGAGCTCTTTCAGTGTCTGAGCCATTTTAAATATGCAGTCCTTGAACACACAGCGCATTCAGATCCTGTCAGGCTGAGCACGCAGGTGCTACAGTGCTCTAGCACTTACAGCCGATAGTGCGTCAGCACACCAGTCGCATGCTGTGCACTCAGATAAAGGCGAGAATTGCCATAATTGTACAGCTCTTAAGAGCGAACGTCTCTGTGAATTTAATTAGCGGCCTGTGTTAACGTGAATGTCGGATGAGCACTCTGCAGTCAATAGCTGGTGCAGGGCAGTGAGGGTCTGCTGTAATCCCCAGAGGCACGAGCACACGAGCGCACGAGCGCACAAGTACACCAGCACACAGCTCTACTTCTTCATGCAACACATCCAGTGTTGGGAAATTCAGGTTGCCCGTGACCCCAGACGAGGGAAGCAGAGTTCGGTCTGATTTCAGAGCCGGCACCGCTGGCAGAATGAGCCTTCCGTTGCAGTGTTGTCAGGAAGAATAATCTCAGGCACCGTTCTTCTTAAAAATACTGGATTCATCCACAAATACTTTACCTTCTGTCCTTCTATCATAACACGGTCACTTACCTTATGCTTTGGACATTTCAATGAAAAGTTTTCTTCTTGTAAAGAGCAACCTAAAACAATGAGAAGAGAGTCTGAATACCAAGCCAAACAGAAATACACTCCCACCCATGTCCAGCCCCTGACACAGCTGTTGGAACAATCTTACTTCCTCCATCGGGCTTCTTAGTCAGCAGTCTCGTGTAGTCAAATGATTCAAAGCCCGAGACGGAGAAGAAGACTGTACAAGGTGTGCACACCGTATCAAATACAGAAGACATGACAGCGCTTTCAGATCAGCAGAGACAGGGACATGTGGTCCAGCTGGCTGAAATGAGTCACTTTGCTTCCAGAAAGCACATGTACAAACACACACGCAGGCCTGCTAATATTAGAGCTCTTACCCATCTCTTTGGCACAGACATAGTGGAATTTCTGAGGGCATCCTTTACTGCAGCAGCCCACTGACGCACCAAGATCCTGGCACTTCAGGCAGCGCTGTGGCAGTGAAACAAAGGACAGCGTTGGACATGAGGATTCTTTCATTTGGCATCGCTTGGCACCCTGGCTCCTTTTTCGGGAGCCCTACTGCATGTCGCGTTTCCGCGGCCTGTGCCGTGCTAGGCCTGATCGAGCAGCAGTGGTGCCGTGTGCGCGAGTCCCATCAGGCGGTGGGAGACGCCACCGGTGAGGTCGGCACTCACAGCCCCCCAATCTGGGCGAGCCCAGGCCCCCCTGAGCCACGGCGAGCAGAGAGAGACTCACCGAGGCGGCGGCGCCGAGCGCGGCTTCCTGCAGGCCGTACAGCTTCCCGGAGACGAGGAAGACCCCGTTGGTCCAGACGGCGCAGGCCTCGTGCACCCAGTGCTCCTTGGCCTCGGCCTCCAGCTCCAGCCTCTGCAGAGCCTCCTTCGGCTTGCCCGGGCCCGCCTCCCCCTCCGCGGCTCTCCGGTCGTAGCCCTGGAACTGCTGCAGCTTCCGGTAGCGCTCCCTGAATTTGGGGCGCAGCGCGCCGGGCTCGCCCGCCGCCCGCTCCGCCCTCCTCGGCCGCCCCGGGGCGCCGCTGCCGCTGCCGCTGGGGCCCTTGTCGCCCTCCGGCCGGGAGGGGGGGCTCCGCGCAGCGCCGCAGCTCAGCCTGGCTCGGTCCTCCCTGGGCTCCAGCTTGCACTTGAGAGACAGCGTCTTGCGCGGTATGCTGTCTTCAGGATAGTAGGGGCCACACAAGTCCCCCAGCTCCCTGTAATTTGCTGGCTTTCCGCACAGGCAGCAGGTTAGACACCTGTCGATGAGGTTTTTGTTGACCAGCGGCCCCTGCAGCATGACCGAGGAGTTGGGGATCGCCTTAGCAACTGGGGCAGGGCTTTTCATCTTGGCCGAGCTCTTTTTTCTGGCATTCAGGAGCAGAAACTCTTCCTCAGGCCTGTTAACAATCGTACACAGAGCGGCAAACTCTTTGGAGCTGTCGATGTGCACGTACGGGCTGAAGAAGGGTTTGTTTTCGTTCTTCTGCGGCTTGTACGTGACGTATTTTAAACGGATCTCCGGCTGTTTCTCCTCCACGACGGGAGCGCTGGGCCTCCTGTGGCCGCCCCGCCTGGCCTTGACCGCGCTCAGGTGTTTTCGGTTTCGCCTGTTGGGCCCCGTCTGCTTGACAGCTTTGGGCTTGTCTGAAGCTCTCCCCTGTCTCTGTCTCGTCTGCGCCGACCTGCGCGCGCCCCTTTTCGCCGCGCCGGTGTCGGAGGGGCCCGTGGGGCTGCCTGGGAGTTGCCCCGCGGAGGGGGGCAGGGCAGGGGCCGGGGGCAGAGCCTGCTGGCCCGCGGGGGCAGAGTCTGGGGGGGGAAAGGCAGGAGCTTTCCTCTTTTTCCTCCTCTGCTTCAGATGCATTTCGTGGTTGTTCTTGATCGCCCTCTGCTTGGCCAGCCTGGGCGTGGGGACCACGAGGCCCCCGGACTCCAGCGGCCCCTCGGGCGGCTCGACGCCCTCCCCCGCCGCCACTCTCTTCCTCTTGGAAGTGGGGGCTCTGGCGAAGCCCACGTGCGGCGCCCCCGTGGCGTTGGGCGCGCCCCCCTCCTCTCCCGGGGCCCCCGCTGCTGGCTCCGCGGGGCCCCTGTTCTCCGCAGCCTGCGCCGCGCAGGGCTCCCCTGGGGGGCTCGAGGAGTGTTTCTTCGCGCCCGGAGACGTGATCTTTTGGACCAGCGCCTCATACTTCAGGCCCCTGCCCTTGCGGGGGGGCAGGTACTTTGTTTTGGGGGGGTACTGAGGGGGCAGGCAGTGGCCACCACTCACGGCCGCCAGGGGGGTGTCTTTGGTGAGGAGGTGCTCTCCCTGCCGCAGCCTCTTGCTGGGAGCCTTCACGCCCCCCGGCTTGTTCTTTAACGGGGCCTGGAAGCCGTCCCCCCTGCCCGCCTTCCCACCTCTCCGCTTTTTCACGGGGACAGGAGAGAGGCAGCTCGCCTTCCTCTTCAGAGGGGGGCTGGCCTTCTCTTCCGGCTTGATCCTGTAGACCACGCTGCGCTGGGACCCCGCCAGGGCCTGCTTGGGGCTCCCGCGCGCCGCCTCTTTCTGGAAGGAGGCCTTGTGCTTCTTCGTGTCCTTCAGCTTCCTGGGCAGAGCGCAAGGCGTCCTCTTGTCCTTTCCCTTGTGCTTCAGGGGCTTCTCCTGCGCTGGCTTCCTTGACCTCAGCACCATGGCTCTCGGGTCTTTACCAGGCGCAGCCGGAGGCAAGCTGGAGTCGTGGTTTTCGTCCTGTGAGCTGCTCTCACTCAGAGTCTTCTTGCTCTTGAGGTGACCTATGAGAGCCGGCTTGGGGCCTTTCTGCTTCTTCCACTTGATCTTGGGGAGCGTCTCCTTTGCGGCTACTCCCTTTGCGAGCTTTGTGGCCACCTGCCTTTTCAGGTGGATGCAAGCTTTGGGGGCAGCCAGGGCCGTGAAGGACCTGGTGCACATCCTGGAAGGGAAGCTCTCGGGAAAAAGCTTCGTTGTCTGGCTGGACAGGTCCTTGTGCATCACGCCTGTCTGATCTGTCACGGTGATGCTCTTGCTTGAGGGCATGCTCATCTCTTGAGGGGTGCCCGGCAGCGCCTCTCCAACCCCGCTGGAAAGCCTGCGGATCCTCACGCTTGTGTGCATTATTCTTCCCGACTGGCTGCTCTTGTCCTCTGCGTGCTTCCTGTGGAAGGGCGTGAGATGCGCCGAGGGCGGGGGGGACTCAGCCTTGGTGGAAGGTGTCACTCCAGTCGGGCCGTCGATGCGGGGGTCTATCTCCTCGTCACCCTTCTTCGGCGAGGGCGGGGTGTCGACCCAGGAGGGGGCAGAGTGCAGCATCGACTTGCCTGGCAGCTGTGGAGAGTCGGGCTCCAGCACCACGGCGTCGTGGCGATCGATATGCTCCCTCACTTGGGACAGAGGTGTTGCTTCTTCATTAAGCCCCGAGAAAGCTGCCTTAGCAGGCTGCCTGGAAGGTGAGATATCGCAAATGACTGACCTCCTTTCGGAGCTCGGAAAGCCTGCGTCTTGTGTCTCTGTGGCGGCAGCAGCCCTGTTTACTTGCTCCGGGGCTGGGCTGCCGATTTCCCCAGACTCCTGGGCCCATGTTTTATTATTCATGGCCTCCTCAGAGGACGGCGAGCTATCCTCTCCCTCTCTCGCTCCAGTGGCTCGGCTGGAAAGGACAGAGTGCTGCTCTTCAAAAGCTTCCTGCTTCTCTCTCTCGGCTGCTGAAAGCTTCTCCTCAAACAATTCGCTCCTGGAATCAAAATGCGGAAACTCTGAGTCGTCCTCTTTCATGGTTAAATATTGATCTTGTACAAGGTCATTGCTCCAGCTGAATGGAACGGTTTTCCCTGAGGCGTCTGAATCGGTGGGAAACTCTGATTTATATATCTCAGCCTCCACATCAGAAACCATGTCAGTCTTGCAGTTGAAGTCTGAAGGGCTTGATGGCTTCTCCCCACTGCCTCCGTCATCCGGAACATATTGGTTCTGCAGTTCCTGATATATCTGCTCCTCCATGTCGCTTGGGTAGCTCTTGCCTGCCAGCGCCTTGCTGATCTTCTGAAACAGGGACGGGTATTTGTCATGGTCGGGCCAGCCGTCTGGCTCCGCCGCGCGGATCTCGGCGGCTCCGTCTCCGTCTCCGTCTCCATCTCCGTCCACAGACAGCCGCTCTTTCGGCTCCTCCCTCTCCTCGCCCGTCTTCTCCAGCCAGGCCGACTCTTCGAAGTTCTCCTTCAGGGAGTCCTTCAGGCGCTGGATGTCATCGGGGGAGTCCTGCTCCGGCTTCAGGGGACTGGGGGTGAGGGCCCCTTTGGGGGACTTCTCCTCTCCTATGCTCTTGAGCAAGGTGGCGAGGTTCTCCCCGGCCTCCGCGCTCGGCAGGCTGTGGGCCGAGTCGTCGGACTTGGTGGACAAGACGTCGGGGGACGTCGCGGAGCAGGAGGACACGGTCTCCAGCGCGTGCTGGGAGTTTGTAGTGGGCTGGGCTGGGCTCCTGCTTTGGCCACAGTAGTAGTAGCTCCTCTCTAACTGGTCTTCCGAGCTGCTGGAGTATTCGCCCTCCTGCAGCTCCGTGTGGACGGACTGCGGCGTGCCAAAGGGCTCGGGCACGGGCGTGGCCAGCTGGGCATCTGGGCACGACCCGTCCTCCAGGGCTCTCAGCTGCCCCTTGAAGTCCTCCGTCTTCTTCTGGTTGCGTTTGCTGCTCTTCTTGTTGGCCACCATGGCCTCCGAGAGCAGGAGCTGCTGGACGTTGTTGGAAATGTTCTCCACCTGAGACGTCAGGGCGTTGAGGCTCCACAGGCTGGGGTTGGACAGGAGCTTCTCGGAAAAGCGGTCCTTGAGGGAGCCCGCGAAGCTGGCGGTCTGAGGGTTGAGGCTGGGGGAGGCGTGAGAGTGGGGGGGCATCAGCAAGCTCTGCTCTCTCAGCCCGCTGGCGGAGGAGGAGGAGGAGGAGGCGGCCCCCGTCGTGATGGGGGGCTGGCTGTACTGGAAGGACTCGGGATTGACCATCAGGGGCGAAGGGGTGGAGCTGTAGGAAGGAGACCTCCCGACAGACCGGGCCGGGGAGTGGCTCGAACTGGGGCTGCAGTTCTGGTAGTACTGCTCGGGGGACCTGACCGAGATGTCGGAGAGGCAGTAGTTCTGTGGGGGCTGGCTGAAATGTTGGTATTTTGAAAGCCCGTCCTGGGCGCCGGACAGGGCCTGCTGCTCGTAGCCGGCCCTGGAGGGAGCCTGCTGGTACGTGTAGCTGCCCTGGGCTCTGTAGCCACTCTGCTTGATGCTGCTGCTCCCCAGCTGCCGGTTGTACTGGGAAGTTGGCGGCATGGCGTAACTCTTGTAGCAGTGGGGCGTCTGGCTGCACTTCTCCACGGCCGGGTAGGAGGGCGTTGAGGAGGAGAGAGACTGGGAGTGCTGGGGGAAGTGCATGGGCCCCTGGGTGTAGGTCATGGGGGACGGGGAGGTGTCCTGGGGCAGTTTCGCTTGGGGATGGGTGGTGTAGACGGGGGGGTTGGGCTGGGTGGGGTGGGCGCACTGGCTCTGGGAAATGGGGAGCAGGGTCTGGTCGAGGTACTGGCCCCCGCCGGGCCCGCCGCCGGCTGCGGGCTCCAGCCGGCCCACCAGCTCCTGCTCGTACTGGGGCAGGTGCGAGTGCGCGGAGTCGTCCCACTTCTGCGGCAGGTGCCCCTCGCTCATGTACTGGGCCGGGTACGCTGAGCCCAGGTGGCCACTGTAGCCGCCGGCGGAGGGCCCGCTGGGCAGGAGCTGGCCCGGCAGTTTGGTTCCCTTGTATTGCTTGTCCGCGGGGGCCGAGCCGCTGCCGTAGGCCGGGTAGGCTTGCTGGCTGTAGCAGTCTTTCGTCCCCGCGGCCGCGAGCGAATGTGCCTCGTAGCCCTGTCTGGTCTGGCTGTGATGATGTCTGTAATTCTCAAGGCGTGATAATTCATGTGTCTCCTGCTGGTAGCACTGCTGGTTGCCATGGAAACCACTCCGTTCTCTGAAGGACTGCATGACTCCGGCTCGGGCTCCTCTCTCTACAAACAAAACACAAGAGAGAGTGCTTACTTCCAGCTCCCCGCGCTTGTGTGCTTATATTTACCCCCCACCCCTCCTCTGTCTGTGGTATCGACTGACGTGAAACTCTCTTCGGAACGTTTTCGGGTGTCGCGTCCTCTCTTTAAGAGGGGCGAGCTGGTATCCCGCTCTGTGCTTTATGGGCCCACACACGCGTGTGGTGCTTGTCTATGGCATGACTCCGAAATACCTTCTACCTTGAAACACTCTTTATTGAACCGACTAGTTTCTTTAAAGGAAAAAATACAAGTGAGCATTCTAAGCACAAAAAATAATTCATTTGCACCGAAGCGCAGAAGCACTGAAGCACGCAAGCAAAGCTCCTGACTAGGGGGAAATGTTGTTCCCTGTTGAATTCCCGATGCTTTTGTGATGAGGGCTGGAGAAACCTGGAGATGCAGCCGCTGCCACAGCAAAGCAGAGTGATCTCTGTTTGCAGCACAAGTCCAGAGTCCTAGGCTGCTTCGGGCTGGTAGCTGCAGCGACATGCCAGAACCGTGAGATTCCCAGTCGCCACCCCTTCACCAAGGACGAGGTCGCTGGGAGGTTGGGGCCACTTTTAGACATGGCGGGAGTAGAGGCCAAGACAACATCGTTATCGCTCGGGCAGTGGGCAGCACGCCGGGTTCTCACATGTGGCCACGAAGGAAAAAGTAAAGTAAAATTCCACTGTCGTCTCTTGAACCGAGGGTGTGCGTAGTAAGAAATCTACATGTTGTGAGACGATGAATATTAATTAGCTCTGGCTGTTGCACAGCACCAGAAAGTCAACCTGTCTGCAGAGATTTCTGATCCTGTTCTGTGCATGTAAATCGGCCGTGGAAAGATGTTACAATTACTGTATGTTAAGGCTTTGGCCACTGAAAGGTTTCTATCTACCTGTCTCTAACTGGCCTTATCCATTTATGTTCTCACAGCTGAACCCTATACAGAGTCACGAGGGAGCTGGAGCCCATCTCGGAAAGCAACAGGCACAAGGCTGGGTCCAGCGCGGGGCACACAGACACACACTGGCACCAGGGCCGGCTGTCCCAGACAGCGCTTCGGCTGTTGGCAAGGCTCTGGACTGTGGGAGGAAACCCACGCCAACACGGGGAGAACATATCAACTCCACACAGACTGCACCCCTGGTCTGGAATCGAACCCAGACCAGACCAGACCCAGACTTGGCCAGCTTCCTCGCTAGCTAGTTGGCTCCAGTGTTCTGATTATCTTGCAGAGCCATGAAGAATAAACAGCGCAGAGTGAACAAGGGTTGGTGATGCACACAAGGGGAGACGTGGAAATGAAGAAGGCAGGAGCACCACCTCAATCCCCAGAGCAGGAGAGTGCTCTCGTTTTAAATCGACCTCTCCAGCCTGCCCCTCACTCCCTGTGCTGCTGTTGGATATTCTTATCTGAACTGCTTGCCTTTTAGGACCTGTGGGAGGCAGCTGATCAGGAATCATTTTGACTCTGCAGACAGAGTATTGCATTTTGTTCTTTGCACTTCAGTACTGAGCCTGCTGAGAGATACAATAAGCATCGATTGCGTTCCTCTTATCTGTCTCTCTTTGCTGTGCTTTCTGCACCTGCTGGGCCACCGCATTTCCTGGTCGACAGCAATATGTGTGGCAGCGCCCTGCTGTCCGCTGGTATAGCTGTGCTCCCAGTCCTCTCCAGATTCCTGCAGCCGGGACATGCTGGTGACTTCCTGTTTATGTGCCAGACTGTGCAACCTTGATTGATTTTGCACAGGTGCCCCTCAGAGCCTTGGCATAGCCCAACCTGGGCTGTGTGACAATGAAGAGCAATGCTATTTTTGTCTCAGTACTGACCGTAATCTGAATGATATTCTATTGTATTTCATTATACTGCAAGATGAGCGTGATGCTGTGTCCTTTTGGAAGGTAAGATGACTGTTCAGTAGGATACATTTTCAAACTCTTAAAATCCCAAATTGGATTAACTCACAAACACGAAACGGCCGTCCTTTGTGGAACAGACATAAATGGACTTTATATGCATCAGGTATTACAGCTGATAGCTGACAGCATTCCAGGAAGATACAATCACTAAGTGCTGGCTTCCAGTTTCACCTGGCCTGAAAGCAGGCTTTAGATGAACTCACACGGTGTTTGAGCCTTGGAGTCTCGAATGAGAGAGCGCATCATTCCAAACATGCAGTTCAGCTTTTCGGGATATTCCGGTCCCCACCGTTCCACAACCTTGCCCTGCCCAGCTCAGTATTGCTTCATTAGCTGCTAATTTCTGCAATTATGCACAGCAGCGGAGGAGTGCAGTCCATCACAGCGCTGGTGCCCGAGCCCGGGAGGGTGGCGAGGAATGTGAGCAGATCCCTGGCTCAGAGGGAGGCGGAATCCGATCGTTCTGCTTTCTGGGAGATAATCCGGCACGCACGGAATGTGGCGGCCTCGCCTGATCCCATCATCCCTCTGGCAGCCTGAGACGGGATTTATCCTCCTCCTCCGCCTCCCCCTGCCCGGGTCTCTGAGTGACGCCGGAGCCCCAGCGGGACTCCAGCGCACCTCCCTGCTCACAGCGCAGTCGCCTGCTGGAGCTGCTGGGTGGGACTGGGAGCACAGGGCTCCTCCAGGACCAGACACAGCCCAGCACAGCTCTGCCCTCGTTTTGTACTGCATATTTACGACCTTGGAATATGCTAATTCTTCTGTTTTTATTTAAAGAGCCTGTTCTAAATGAGATTGTGTTTTCCCCCCACTTTCTTTCCAGTGTGTTTGTATCATGAAATTACAAAATGCTTCTAGTTGGATGTGTCACACAGCTTGTTTACTCTCCAGGAGTATTCTCTGATCCCCACATCATTTGCAATTATTCTGAATGTGGTTTTATTTTTTTTCACGGACGAAGGACCAGCTGCTGCTGTCGCTGGCCCGATCCCTGCGCCCGGCTTCCTCGGCCGGTGGAGACAGCAGGGCTGCAGCTGAGAAGAGGCTGATCTGAGGAAGAGCTGATTATCTGTCGGTAGCGTTGCAGTGCTCACATTCATGGAAAGGCTCTCCTTCGAACCCGGGGCAGAGTTAAGAGTAGTGCAGCCCCAGCCACCACCAGCGCAGGTGGGCAGTGGCAGCAGGGGACTCAGCTGTCCACCCCAGCGGCCAGCGCTGTCCACTCTGGACCTCAGGGGTCAGCACTGTCCACTCCAGACTCAGGACCTCAGCGGCCGGCGCTGTCCACCTCAGCTGCTCTCTGGACCTCAGCGGCCGGCGCTGTCCACTCCAGCTGCTCTCTGGACCTCAGCGGCCGGCGCTGTCCACTCCAGCTGCTCTCTGGACCTCAGTGGCCGGCGCTGTCCACCTCAGCTGCTCTCCAAACTGTGTCATCAAGCGCCAGATTGTGAAAACAACCTCCGGCACACACGGAGCCCCTCTCCAGAAGGTGCTGTCAGCTCCCAGCACTTCAGGGGTTCAGGTTACTTGTAAACCTGTATTCAGAGCTGGAAACACAGTTTCATTTTGTTTCTAAAGGTCTAATTAAGCAAATTGCCAGTGTGACTGAGTGATGGAGTAATTGAAACCGCAGTAGGAAGGGAATGCGGAAGACAGCGGGAGCCCCTGCACTAGGGCTGGGGAAACCCCGGAGACCGGAGCCGAACCGGGCCGGGTCACCAGTCCCTGGACTGGACCTGGGGGCAGGCTGTCGGCCAGACCTGAGGCTCACCGCAGTCAATCACAGAACTACAGAGTCGGTTCTGGAGAATTAGAACAGTAGAGACATAAACGGGAGTAAAAAACAGGGCAAATGATAGTAATTGAACAAGCAATAGAGAGAAAATTGCTGTCTGATGTGCGCCAATCTAATTACGGTATGCTTGTAATTAGTGTTAAGTATTTATCTTTTAAGTTAAGGAATTCATTAGAGGATTATTAATGACCTCCCTCTCTAGTTGTGCGCAGTACACCGAGAACATGGCTGTTCCTCAGCCGTGCCCGCCCTGGGGGTGTGTTTCGCCCGACGCGCTCCGATGCGTCATCCGGGAGCAGACCCGGCCGCCCTGCACGAACACCCGGATCGGGACGTGGAGGCCCGTTTCTGGGCTAAGAAAACCCGTTCTCCTGCCCTCGGTTCGGTTTCGCACGCCGAGAGCGACGCCGCGCAGGGCTGTGTGGAGAGGGCAGGTTCCCGGGGGGCAGAAACAGCTCGGTATTCAACAGGGGGCACTACCTCATCTAACCAGCAGGGGGCATCTCATCAGCCCAGCGGACGGAGTGGCTCTGCGGTACTGAGCCCTGGTATACAGTCCTGTGGTTGTGCTCTGCACACGACGAAACGTGGCGCCCTATACAGAATTAAAAGAGTGAAGGATTAATTGAGCTATTAGTGTCGGGAAAATGTCCTGGTACATTGCTGTTTTCAAATTTGTGAATTTGTAGGGCGCACCTCAAATTTCGTTTTGCCATGGAAAGTAAGGAAACGTTCTTATTTTTTAGAATTCGTGTCTGGTTTTACCCAGCCTGCCTGAAACGCCGCCCCACGGCCGCCGGTCTCAGACTCGCTCCTCTCCGGCCCGCCTCGCCACCGCGAACACGAGGCGCAGACCAGCTGGGGTTCTCGGCAGAGCGACAGCCCGGTCCGGGCCTGAGGGCCGGAGAGCGGCTCCACCACACGCACACAACACCAGCGATCAGGGACGCTTCGCTTCCTACAAAACGGCAATTGATATTCGAGACACAGCCAGGACTGCTTATACGACAGCCAATGGGAGGCTAGAAGACCAGCTCAGCGACGTGTGGGGATCACAGGAATGTTCTTTTTCTGGCGTGCAGTCAGATGAGTCTCCCCCTGACAGTGTCAAGGTGTTCGGGGCATTGCTGCTGTTACAGGAAACAGGCAGAGCTCCTCGCTTCGCTTTAATAAACACAGCGCCGCGCTGACAGAAGCCCTGTCGGGGTACAGACTGGTTCCCTGGGCGCTACCTGCCGCTCCAGGTGGGTAACCTGCGCACCACGTGCTCGGTGCGATACAGCAAAGGGAGTGACATATTGTAGTGCTGTGTCTCGACCCTGTATTTAATGAAGAACGGGCATCATACACCTTTACACCGCTCTCACTCTCGTATGCCCACAAACAAGGCTTCTTCATGCAGTGTGATTCGATTTGCACAGGGCTGATGGAAAACGTACTTAAAATGACAATCCTGAATCGATGCTCGCTTAGTCGATGGATTCTGCTGCTGCCCGATGGTTGATAAGGGCTTTGCGCACGTCAGCACAGACTCCAATCGACACCTCCTGCGCCCAGCTGGCGCGGCCGCTGCAGGTGGACAGTCCGGCCGAGGCCGTTTCCCTCACGGGATTAAGAAAGTCTCTACCAGCGGGGTCCCCCTCTCTCACTTCCCGAGCGGGGTGCGAGGGGATGTACCCCTGCAAGCCTGTGGAGGCGAATGAGCTTCCCGGTCCCCAGGGACAGCTCGTGCGCCCGGCGTTGCGGGACGAGGGAGGGCGCGAGGCTGCCTTGGCAACGCTCCGAGCGTGTTCCTCGCGACTGGCGGCCGACGCGCGCCGCTTCCCCTCCTAGCAGCGCTCACACGCACCGGTGACATACTGCACACCTTACAAAACAAACAAACAAACTAACAAACTAACTAACTAACAAAAACGAATGGGGTGTCACGGATGCATCGTTCTTCGCCCTTCGCTTTGCATGCTGCAGGTAGATACAGGACGAAGGGCCTGTGGGAAAAAACGGTGCATTTCGCCGCAAACCAATCACAGCCCTGCACGAGCGCGTCTTGTCGCACACGCACGGGAGCAGCGGGGCTGCGCGCGAGAGGGGCCCAGGCCGGCCTCGCGGCCGACAGGAACCCGCCCTTTCCCCCAGAACAACTTTAAACCGTCGTCACGAATTCAAATAATCAAAGACATCGTCATTGTGATTACTATGATTACTATTATGAAACAGCAAAGGCCTCTGGGAAAGCCGGCAGCGTCGCGGAGCGGAGAGGGCGGAGAGTTGCGGAGGGAGTTCGGGTCCGAACCTCTCGCGGGGCACCTGAATCCCGGACTCTGGACCGGAACCAGGGGTGGGAGAAGTAAGAGCGTCACGTTTATTCGACGGTACCGCGGGGCTGCGCTGACCGGGCGGCGTGAGGCCCGCTATTCCGAGACGTGACGTGGTCCCGTCGAGTATAAACAAACGCGCCTCCGGTTTCGCTGGCTGTGGCTCGGCTCGGCTCGGCTCGGCTCCAGACCCGTTTCTAAACCTTCCAAGCCGAGGACACACGGACGAAGCCCAGAAATAGGAAATGAGCAAGCCTGCCGCTTCTCGGGGTCGGAGGGGACAGGCCCTGGTCAGACCTCACTGGAGGAGGAGCAGCAGGGAGCCGCACGAATGCAGGTAAAGGGTTATTCCGGGCCGAGAGAGTGTTTCAGCTGTGGAGCCACACAGCAGAAGAAGGCTCCACAGCTGAAACACTCTGTTCTCGTCTTTTCAGTATGTATTGAACTTTTACCTGTGTGCCCCCAAGTGTAGCAGCGTGCTCACAGTGGATCTGCAGACACGCTTTTAATAGTTCCCACTTAATCATAGTGTTATTCTGGATGAATTTACTTCATTATTGGTATAGGTTATTAAATCATGTAGGTATTTGGTATTTCCTGAAGGTTTGGATCTCGACTGGGGCGCTGTGGAGACGGGCCTCCTGGAGCGACAGCAGAGTGATAGCCAGAGTCTGCGCTAATCAATGCTCTTGTATCGATTGATCTTGCCGGGTGGAAATGGAGTAGGGGGGGCAGCGTGTTGCATGTTTCCTTCCTCAGTGCGGTTTTCCCTCTTCCCTCCTCGGCTTCCAGGCTGGAGAGACAGACCGGATCAATCCGGACGGACAGCGCTGCGGATCTGGCTCCCGATCCTGTCAGCGAGAAGCCCAGGGGACCAGGGCGGAGGGGTAGGGACACGTTGAGCCGACGCGTATGCCAGCTCCACCTACCCCAGGCTTTTACGGGACAGAGCGGATGAGCTGCCTGCCATCAGCTGCTCTGCGGGCAGCCGCCTCTGTGCTCCGCGCTGTTTTGTAGTTCCCTTTGCCTCCTACATTTCAGCAGCTGCTCTGCATTAAGAGCTCACTGCTCCCAAAGTGCAGCGTGTTCGCCAGACACCAGTGTATCCCTGTTGATAAGAAGGCTGTTCCGGGAATGGGAAGGAGGGGAGGGGAGGAGAACTTGACTCCTGCATTTTCTGTGGTGCTCCAGGAACGGTGCTCATCTGGCTTTGTCCAGGTGACCAGCATGAGCAGCATGTTAGCAGACGCTTCGGATTTTTTGTCGTTGACATTTCTGTCCTCCCCCTCCCACTTTGCTGGTACTTCCAGTGCGCTAATTGTCACTTCAGAACACAAGGCTGCAACACAGAGTGCTTTAAATGCTGAAACCTGGCTTTGTTGACATGGAGCCGCTGAGCAGGAGAAAGTGTGGCGCGCTCCCTCTGTCTTCCCTGCGGCGCGCTGGGCTCTGTGTCAGTCTGAGCCGTGCAGAGAGCCCTGGGCACCCCCAGCCTGCGCAGCTGCTTTCACTGAAATTGCCTGTGCGGGAGTCAGAAAGCTTTACTTTCTGAAAGCATTCCTTCAAGATCAATTCTTGTGTGTGCGCGTCTGAGCCTTTTTAACTCTGGCTGGGTTAAAAAACAACCCAAACCTCCTTTGTTATTTTTAATCGCGCTTCCTCGAGGAAGGAAATCTAATTGTAAAAAGGCTGGGCAGGCAGGCGCACGCGCAGAGGAAACAGGTTTTCGGGTGTCAGTCGGGTTGGTGTTTTATAGGGGAATTAAAAAAATCAGTGCAAGATGTTCCTTTCTGAAGCACAATCCATATGGCAATTTGATTTGGGTCAAGTGGACCTGAGCCAGAGAGATTATAATTGGTGCTGTTGTGGCAGGTAGGAGTCTGGGTTTAAAGAGAAGACATATGCACTGGAAAAAAAAGAAAATGCCTAGGATGTCTTGCAGTGTCTGTGCCTGAAGAATGTGTTTTGCAGCTCAGTATGCAGGACCACATAAACAGAGAATGCACTACAGGCTGGAGCAGTCCCCTGGGACAGCAGGTGTCTTCGTAAGGCTGCTCTCTAGTCTAAGCTGCTGGCAGAAAGCTGTGCTGCTGCAGGGCTGAAGGGCTCCGGGAGCTCCAGCTAGGCTCCTGCTCCGAACCGGGAGTGGATTACCGAAATCAGCTGATTATGCAAAGTTCTTTTTATCAAGCATGCTGGTCGGGGGAAGACGAGTCATGTGGCACTGGTGTGCACTGTAGCTAAAGCTGTTTTGTAACTGGAAGAATGAGCTGGAAAAGCTTGAGTCAAGTCCTACGCTCCAGTGAAGCAAAGGGAATTTATTCTTTGATCAGGGTACCTCTGTGCATAGTTGTATTCCTACAGAGTTTATTCTGGGTATCATTACTGAACTCTTCCCTCGGAATGAATTTGAGCATGAAGCCTTCTTTTTCCCTTGCACGTTTTTTTTTCTTTAAACACAATACGTTTGGGGGGGGGGGGGAAGAAAGAACTTCCTGAAACACAACCCCCTTCGCTTTTGGTTGTATTATCCGAAACCCACTGCAGGCAGACTTTATCAATAATATTGGCCAAGCGAGGGGCCTGATGACACGAGTGTCTGTGAGGCTGTGTGCTTCGGTGCTCCCAGTAAGGGCACAGTCATTCATTTCTCCCCGTGAGGCGGACAGGTTTGCTCTCATTCCCGCGCCGCGCTGTGCTGCGGTTCGGTTTGGCCGGCTGGTGAAGCAGAGTGTTCGCAGTGTCACTCACAGCCGACCCCCCCAGCGCCTGCGACCCCCCCGGCTCAGCGTGTCGCGCCAGGTCTTCCCAGCGCCCCTCCCGCCACCTCCGCGCTGGCCACCTCCACCCCCAGCCTCCGCCTGTCTGACACACAGATTAACCTTTCACACACCCCCCGCGACCCCTGTCACGCTGACATCGCCATAGCAACCCCGCCGAGCGTGTCTTGATGTACAGGCCCTCCCGGGCGCTGGGCAGGGTCTCGCACGACTGGCCCCCAGCTCACGGGGCCCGTGGGCAGCGATACCCTGGCATAGGTGGGTAATAACCTGCAAAAACAGAAGTTCTCCCTGATCGGGCTGGGGGGTGGGGATAAAAAGAGTGGCTTGGTCGCGCGATGCAGAGACGAGAGCAAGAAGAAATGAAGGCTTTGCAGATCTCCAGGCCTGGGCGTGCGTCTCCCTGCTCTGTAGGCTGTACCCTCTACAGGTGGGGATGTTCTTTTTTACTGGGGCATCTTTAGATGTTGGGCTCCCACAGCACCTCAGAAGGTGCCCTTGATGTTCCTGATCTGCTGCGTTCGAGCGAGATCTGTGTTCTGCTTCCCAGCGGTGTTGCTTTCACCTGAGCATGCACGGGGATTTGGAGAAGACAGTCGTGAGTTATTAGACTGTCTGACATTAAGAGGGCCTCTGGCAGTGAGACATTGATGAGATGTATGAAGTAGTGCAGGGAAAAAGGAGCATCCTTCAGCAGCCGAGAGAGGGAGAAGGGTATATTTTATCACAAGGGCTTCACTTTTTTTTTCCTTTCTTTGGCAAGGCGCCTTTCCACTAATAAACACGGGCAGCAAACTGCGGCTCTGGTGTGATGCGCTTGTGGTTGGGGCTTGTCACAGGTTTGCTGTGAATCGAGAGACCTTTCCGCACGTACGCAGCCTGTGAAGCAATCCGCATGCAAGTGTATCCTGTCTTACTGTAGGTAGGGCTGCGTCAGAGGGGGGGGCCATTTATCAAAGCTTATGGCTTGCTGTCATGTGTCACGCGGGGGACAACATACAGCAGAGGGAGCGTTAATGCAGAAAAATGCATCTGCCATAAATAGTTAAGTTTCTAGAGCAGGCTTGTCCTGGCAGGGCATTCGCGATTTTGAGACCGCGGGGTTACACATGAAGAATCCCCGTGCCTCTCGGTCCTGGTGGATCACTTTTATAGTGTCTTTCCCACACGCTGCCGGTTAGAAAGAACCACCTGCAGCCCCTCGTCAGCCACGTCAGCGGTTCCCATTCAGCCTCCGAGTGACCCGACTGGCGGTGTTTGCAGCCGCAGGAAAGCCGGATGGAGGGGGGCAGTTAGGGGACTGTTCTACCCACTGGCCCTGCCGGGATACTCGGCCTCATGGGGAGCTCCTGCCCAGCTGCGTGTCCAGACGTGCAGGCGGTGAGTGGAAGAGCTGCTGCCCCGGTCTGCCCCTGTCTGCCCCGGTCTGCCCCGGTCTCGACCAGCTTCTCGTTCGTCCGACTCGTCTGGTGGCTGTCAGAGCTGTTGGACGTTGCAGGGGGACGGCGGCCCCGCGACACGCTGAACAAGCTTGATTTTGTACACTTGTAATAAACAAAACCTTCCCACCGGCAAATGCTGCCGGATATTTTCCATTTCATGTGTTTTTCCGCTCTGTGCTTCACCCAGAGGGAAGCGAGGGCCCGGCAGCTCTGGGAGGTCTCTGCGCTGGTCACGTCGTGCCCGTCCCGGCGGTCGCTCGGCTGTTTGTGGGGTCAGATCGCGTGACGGGACCGGCAGCTGGTCTCATCGCGTGTCCGCGGCACACGGGGCGTCAACCACCAGCTCTCTTTTCCATTTCCGCAAAGGCCCGAGCTTCCCCAGAGAATCCTTCTGTGCTGTTCTGTCGGAAGGCGTCGCTGCGCTGGAGCTCGTGCGCCCCGGTCTGGGGTCACCGCCCTGGCGGGGAGGGCCCCAGGTCAGAGAGGGGTCATGAGGGCGATGAAGGCGGGGGGAGGACTGACGTCGCTGTGCGGTTCATGGCTCAGGGCTGGGGGACGGGGGACGGGGGACGGGAGCGAGCTGGGGGACGGGGGACGGGGGCGAGCTGGGGGACGGGAGTGTCTGGCAGGAGAGAGTAGCGCTCCTCCTCGGAGCCGATGGAAAGTCACAGTGAAGAAGCACCTCCGGCTCCTCAGCCTTTTCCTTTGCCAAGGAGGACCTGGACCAGCTCATGCCTCCCAGACGCAGCCGCGTGCCGTTATTACATTAGCCTGCCTAAATGCCTCTAGTTTCCCTAATTAAACTTTAATATCCAATACGGCGAAAATTACCTGCGACATAATTGACCGTAGCCGCAGTTAAGTGTCTCAGAACCGAGGGCGAGCTCAGGGAATGAGACACAAGGTCAATTATTTGGCAGGAAATGCCCTCTGTGGAGGACGCTCGTGCTGCTGCTGTTCAGAAAGTTCAGAAATCGTTGTCTTTTGTTTATGAATCGTCACCCGGGTGCCTGCTGGCTGCTGGTCGTGCCCGGTGCAGTCGCCCGGTGGCACCCAGCCACTTCACTAGCTCCCAGAAACATTCAGGATCGCTGCGTCTCCTTCATTCCCACTCCTTGTGCACATGTCTGTTTTCCAGTGACCCCACTGGGGTCTGCTCGTGCCGGGGCAGGGGGAGAGGGCGCTGGGCCCCTTCGCTGTGCGGCTGGGGAATTCCGTTCAGGGCCCTTCGGTCACACGCACGAGCTTGAGGTAGAGAAGCGCCGGGGATCGCCTTCACTGCCGTTACCTCCTTCCTCCTCCTCCTCCTCCCCTTCCTCTCCGAGCTCCTAAGCCCGGTGAGCGGAAGGCGTGAGCAGTCGTGCGGCGGGCCGCGCTGGGATGTGAAGTTTGGGGGGCAGCTGCTGCGAGCCCCAGGGTGGCAGGTTGTGCCTCTGTAGCGCCGACACTCCCTGATCATTATTCCTCCTGGTGTCACGGAGAGCCAGGCTCAGACAGGAGGCTTGTAATGAAACGCTCTAGTCTGGCACTCAGATGAATGACATTGCTCCCAGAGAGGTGAGCTGAACTGCTTATCACCGATCCGCAATAGGATTTCCATTCACCAGCAGCCGCCCCAAATCAGGTGCTCAACAACCAGGCTCATGAATATCTTATTGGAACCTG